AAAAAAAAAAAAAAAGGAGCAGAGATGTGCTTCCGCCTAATCAGCAGCGGTAGAGGGCTGGCAGACTTCAGTATAGGAGGAGATAAGCCTCCAGAGTTAGAAAACAGAGCCTCATAAAATCTTAAAAAAAAAAAAAAAAAAAAAAAAAAAGAGCGGGGGACCCCGGGGGAGGTGGCGGGACGCCTGGGCAGCTCAGACAGTTAAGCCTCTGCCTTAGGCTCAGGTCATGATCCCAGGGTCCTAAGATCGAGTCCCGCCTCGGGCTCCTTGCTGGGGGGGGGGGAGCCTCCTCCCTCTGCCTGCTGCTTCCCCTGCTTGTGATCTCTCTCTCACTAACAAAATCTTAAAGAAAAGAAAAAGAAAACAGAGCCTAAGGGCGCCTGGTTGACACAGTTGGTTAAGCATCCACTTGATTTCTGCTCAGGTCATGATCTTAGGGTCCCAGGATCAGGGCTGCGCATCCAGCTCTGTGCCCAGCGGGAAGTCTGCTTCTCCCTCTTCTCCTCCTACCCCACTCTCTCTCTAAAATAAATCAGTGAATCTTTAAACAAAAAAAAAGAAAGAAAGAAAGAAAGAAAAAAAAGAAAAGGAAAGAGAAATCAGAACCTATTCCCCAATCTTCAAACAAATCTCTCACTTTCTGAGAGCAGAAATAGTAGATAGGAGATGGGAAAACAGGATAAATCCACTGCCTTTAAAACAAACAAACAAAAACACCTGTAAGCGTGAACCAGTTAACTGGAGAATTCCCATCAATACCGTGGTAAGGCACAGCTGCCCTAGAAAAACTCCTTATGTTGTTATGTAAAGAAACACTTTGAAAAATTGACTGTAGAGAGCTACTCAAGACACCCGCAGAGGGAAACTGCAGCCCAGCCTGCTGCTGCTCCCGTAAATATCGCATCTGCTTACCAGCAGAACACCCAGTGCTCAGGGACTCCTTGGACCCAACAGGCACCTGCTGTGAAGACGGCAACGTGGGGGTGGGAAGCACCGGGGCCAGCACACGCCCTCCCAACGCAACCCAGACACTCCCCTTAAAACATATGCCACAATAAAGCAAGATCGTTTGTTCCAAGAAGAGGGAACGTGTATCCTGTGAAGATGACCTATTCCCAAGCAGCAAGCCCCTTTGCAAACGGTCTTTTCTAGGCAAATTTCGGTCAGTCCGATGTAGAGCTCAAGAAAGTCTGCAGAGTTGGAAGAACAAATGTCTTTTTCATTGACCTGGTTAAGTTTTGATAAAAATAAAATAAGAAAAAAGAGCTAACATTTTAGAAGCAAAGAGGAGACAAGTAGAAGCAACCATCCTATTAAATCCTCTCTCACAGAGAGAGAGACCACACACAAGCAGGGGGAGCAGCAGAGGGAGAGGGAGAAGCAGGCTCCCCGATGAGCAGGGAGCCCGATGGAGGGCTCGATCCCAGGACCCAGGGATCAGACGCTTAACCGACTGAGCCCACCAGGCGCCCTTCTTTGGAAGTCTTAAAGGGGGAATTTTAAAATTATCTATGGGAGAATATAGGGAGAATTCTATAGTACATCTTTTTCTGTGGAAAACTACAGTAAATAGTCTTATGTTTGAATCCACGGAGATTTACAGCAAGTTCCAAATAAACATGCCTTCTTATTTACAAAACCAGTAGTCTTACAGTAAGGATGCATTTAAAGGCAAGTTTCTTAATTTCTTATTCATTATTGGTTTGCAATTTCATAATCACTTCAACACCTCACTGTTCATTACACCGTTAAAAATTATGATTTCCAAATGTGACCGGGTCCAATATTTTGTTCTATGAGAAGTGCTTCTAAATCTATGATTGTGTTCAATCCTTAAAAGCAGAATCCAGAAAGGCAAAAGAACAAAATTATCCAAACTTAACTTCTAAGGCAAATTTCTCTGTTTTCCTTGACAAAATGATACAACCTAAACCATCTTAAATGACTTCTTTTAGGATACAGGCACCCCTATGTTTATAGCATTATTTACAATAGCCAAGAGAGGGAAGCAGTCCAAGTGTCCATCAATTGACGGATGGATAAAGATGTGGTATGTGTACGTGTATGTAATGGAATACTAGTCATAAAAAAGAATGAAGGGGCACCTGGGTGGCTCAGTAGGTTAAGGCCTCTGCCTTCAGCTCAGGTCATGATCCCAGAGTCCTGGGATCGAGCCCTGCATCGGGCTCTCTGCTCGGCAGTGAGCCTGCTTCCCCCTCTCTCTGCCTTCCTCCCTGCCTACTTGTGATCTCTGTCAAATAAATAAAATCTTAAAAAAAAAAACTTTAGGGGCGCCTGGGTGGCTCAGTGGGTTAAGCCTCTGCCTTCGGCTCAGGTTATGGTCTCAGGGTCCTGGGATTGAGCCCCGCATCGGGCTCTCTGCTCGGCAGTGAGCCTGCTTCCCCCTCTCTCTGCCTGCCTCTCTGCCTACTTGTGATCTCTCTCTCTCTGTCAAATAAATAAATAAAATATTAAAAAAAAAACAACTTTAAAGAAGTTTTATAACTCAATCTGTTATAACTCAATCATGGAAACAATTTATCTGAAAGAGTATTTTTTTTTTTAAGATTTCATTTATTTGACAGAGAGAGCACAGGCAGAGGGAGGAGGGGAAACAGACTCCCTGCTGAGCAAGGAGCCTGATGCGGGCTCAATCCCAGCATCCTGGGTTCATGACCTGAGCAGAAGGCAGAAGCTTTGACTGAGCCACCCAGGCGCCCCATGTATTAAAAAATTAAAGAAAAAAGTTGTTATTGTGAACATTTCCCCAAAGTGGATTTCAGAAAAAAACACAACTTATTCTAATATAACCACATGAAGACATTCTAAATCTATTTAGCAACGGATATTCAATAGAGAATTCCATTATTTGTTCTTTGCAACTGGTTGAAAATTTCTATTCTTGCAATTCACAAGACAAAGGAAAGAAAACATTCGATGGGTCATGGAAAGCTCTACCCCAAAGGAATAGACTTGATTTAAAACAAGACAAAAGGCAGGGGGGTAGGGGTTTGAGAAGAACACAGCTCCCATTTTAAAACAATTCTGTGTTCTCACTTGACCATCCCTTGGTGACTCACCATCCCTTGGTGACTCACCATCCCTTGGTGACCCCAGAGGGTCCACTAAAGCAGGGCTCTCACTGCCCAACCAGGACAGCGTCCTTCACACTGGCTGCGATCACAACACGTTCTATGTCCTGGAAGGAAAGTGAGAGCAGAGTGCCGACCTAGCTTCCTAGGTTGTCTTTCAAGCTCTGCTTCTGGTCTTCTAAGTTGGTAGCCTACTTGGACCGATGGTGAAAGACTTCTCAGTACAAGGAAGACGGCACTGATAAAAGACAAGGTGACCCGAGACCACACGCGTAAAAGAAGACATTTATTATGCTAAATAACACGTTTTCTTCTCCATTTTCCCCAAACACTAAAATAGCACATGGCATAGTAAGTCAGCACACAGACAGAGAGAAGCAACCAGCAACCCCGAAAATGGGTAAGTCTTACTTTGGGACGCCTGAGAAACCCATGCTCTGAAGGGACCTTTCCCGGAGTTCCCAACCAGCGGAGGGATTACGTTACGTCAGAGAAAATGTTGGGGTCAGAGATACTCCCAGCTCCTGGCAACTTTCTACAGGGGCAATACGAGGTCTGTTTCCCCTTAACTGAGCCACGGCAGATGGTCTCGAGGTCACCTTTATTTCAGGCGACACAGCTAAGGCTCCTAGTTTGAGAAAGGATTATACTAGAAGGACTTTGAATGTTGCAACTTTCACTGTAGGGCCTCCATTTAAACTGCATTTCGAAGGGAAGGAAAGGGAGGTGAGAAAAGAAGTCAGATCTTGCTGCAGACCGGAATTATCCTACAGAAGGCCGAGAGCAAGTAGGAAGGGGCTGACTTGAAAAAACGGCTGCTTCACCCAAGGATCAGAGAGAGGAGAGACTATCTGGGATGGTAGCCCTTTGGAATGAGCGTTGAAGATACATAAAAAATGTTGTTACATCTTTCCGTTCTAACCTGACATTTATATAGGATCTATGAATGTTCTCCTTGAAATGGCATCCCAAATACTGAATGTCTTTCAAGCACAAGTTAAAACATGTTCAAAAGTCTCCCGTCACATCAACCAACTTCCCGTGAGTTGAAATTCCACTCAAAGTTTGTCTGATCATACAAACTGAAGCAGGAACTTCACGGCTGCCCCGTGCGCATCCAGATTCATGTGAAAGAAATCATTCTAAGACAAGTTTTAAAATTAATCTCACTATTTTTATTGTTCAGCTTGTACCTTAACTATGGCGTAACGAATTTGCTATTTCAAAAGCTGGTAGAGCCAGTAACCCCAGTATTATCTGCAGATCGTCCGAGGTACTTCTTACACTTGAAAGCATCTTCTTGGATTCTACCATTGGCTCCAAAAACAGGGGCTCTGAGTGGCCAAGGAAAACACTTTGTGTCTCATTCAGGAAAACTTCGGGGTGTGCGTGCAGCAGTGGAGAGAGGACGAAATACAGGCCAGACAGTTCCAACTCAAAGCCTAGCCCCTCTAGAAGAGCACTTGGCGGTTCCTCCTCAGAAATCCCCCATTCTGACCGCTTCTGAGGGCGCGGTAGTCCTGACGCCCGAGACTCCACTGTGCGGCCCCGTCCTCCGTCGCAGTTGGTGGCCCCGGGCCCTCCTTCCAGCCAGTGCCTCAGCAGAGCCTCCCTCACTCCGCAGCACACCCCAGCAGAACGCTCTTCTGCGGGAGCACAGAACACATGCAGAGTCTTGCTCTGACCCACTACGGAAGCTGAATTTCTTCGTAATGATTCTTTCAAACATGGAAGCGCTTTGTTGCCATTGTGAAGGAAGAGGCTGGCCTCACTCGAAACATTTTTCATTTCCACTGATAACTCCTCATTTGGTGAATTTCCATCCCCGTCAACCGTAGGCCTAGGCATCCAGGAGGGGGAAGGCGTATCTGTCGGGCAAGGGCTCTCCCCCTGTGCTCCTTCAAGTCCATACAGCAGCCGGTCTGAGTCCTCTCCCGCTGCCTGCACCTTCCCGAGGCAGGTGTCCCTCATGCTGTGTATTCTCTGATGTGGTGAGCCTGACGACGTGCCTTTGTCAGTCAGCGGAAGGCCTTCAGTGGATCTCAATATGAACCTGGAAGAGATAATCAGAGTATTATTATGAAGACAGAGCCTTGAAAGAGCCTACACATACCAGGTACTTCTAACAAACAGGAAGATCTTTTTTTTTTTTATTTTTTTTTTTATTTTATTTATTTGACAGAGAGATCACAAGCAGGCAGAGAGGCAGGCAGAGAGAAAGAGGGAAGCAGGCTCTCTGCCGAGCAGAGAGCCCAATGCGGGGCTCGATCCCAGGACCCTGAATCATGACCTGAGCCGAAGGCAGAAGCTTTAACCCACTGAGCCGCCCAGGTGCCCCAGGAAGATCTCTTTAGCAGTCTCTGGTACCAAGGACTCCTACATTTTGACAGAAAACAGGATGACAACCTACCAATTAGAGATCACAACAAAAAGAACATACTTTAAAAAAAAAAAAAAAAAAGAAAACTAAACAGTACTTTATTACTGCAGGGTTTCCTAAAAATACTTAAAATTTAAAAAAAAAAAATTCTTAAAAAAAACATTCTTAGGCTTTGTAGTTTTCACAGCTATTTAGTTATTTCTGTGGGTTCTATAAAAATCTGTCCTCTATTTAATCAGGATGTAACTGGATGACTTGATTATGCAAACAAAGGCCCTACCTGACGTGTCCTATTTGAGACTGAGACTCAGTGACTCAAGCATGACAAGCCACTTTTAAGGAATCAAGGTCAACATTATTTACAGATCTGATGTCCACAAAGCCCTCCCAGGAAAAACTGGCGTGGAGGGGTCCTGGCATACAAGGTCACGGCCTCAAGGTGGTAAGGAAGATCAAGGCTGTCAAGGCAGGGACCTCAGCAAATTCTGGAGCCTTGTTAAGAGAAGAATTCACCGAATTTATAGGTATTGCAAGTAAAAAAAGGGTGGAGAAAGTTTCCTGGGCTTACATCCCCACTCTCAAACTCGCCTAGTCCGAGATTCTGCGTGAAAACCTTGGGACAGAAGTTGATTTGTGACCTCGGCAGTGGTTCACGAGCAAACTCAAGGTGGCCCATACGGTTAACATTCTTGCTATACCTGCAACGCTAACGGGACCAACCTTTTTCTGTGACCATGAATCATCTTTCTTTGACATCATTATGCCCCCAATGGGGAAGACGTGTCAGGAAAGGCTGTGAAAGAGCCTTGAGACAAGGAAACAAGCTGAATGGGCGCACTGTCCACTGCGTCCCCAGGTTACCTGAGTTTAGGGGGCCCTGCACCTGACTCTGAGTTGTAAAAACTGTGAGAGGAAGGCAAAAGATTTCTTATCCAAATAATTAAAAACCCTGTTCAGAGGAATACAACTGATTACCCCCCTGTGGACACTGACCATGTGTACTGATCATTTGTACTGCACTTTGGCATTCCTGATTACGTGTGTGCACGTGTTCTGTCTAAATTCTCCTTTAAACCGATTAGAACATCTAATTAATCTAATTAATGGGTTAGCATCTAATTAATGATTTCCCTCATTAATTGATGAGTTAAAAAAAAATGTTGACCCATGTTCCTTTAAAAAACAACCATAACCCCAGAGCATTAATACATGGAAAATAAAGAAATATATCGACTCTATTTACTATTTTTCTAGAAGGCCAGCTTAAGGAAGAACAATGCAAGGAAAACACACAGCTCTGCTGGGAGAAAGGAGGGATGGAAGTGTGGGACGTGAGGCAGAAGCCTGAGAGCGCACAGCTCGCTTCCCACAGAAAGACAAAGCCTGAGAGCGAAGAGTCAGGAAGCAACAAGCATGCAATTCAGAGTGAGAGAAATCCGGACAAGGAGAGCCCCTGGAGCTGAGAGGCCTGGCTCTGGGGACAGAGAAATGGGGGACAGGAAGCTGCAGTTTCTCTAACCAGGGGAACAAGCTAGGAGAGTGTGTCAGTGTGTTACATTTTTTAAAAATGTAAAGAGAGGGGCACCTGGGTGGCTCAGTGGAGTAAGCCTCTGCCTTTGGCTCAGGTCATGGTCTCAAGGTCTTGGGATCGAGCCCCGCATCGGGCTCTCTGCTCGGCAGGGAGCCTCCTTCCCCCTCTCTGTCTGCTTCTCTGCCTACTTGTGATCTCTGTCTGTCAAATAAATAAATATAATCTTAAAAAAAAAAAGTAGAGAGAGTACACTGGGAAGAAAATAAACAATTGTTGGAGGCTGAAGCAGAAGCAAAAAGGGCAAAGGGAGAGGATGTGAAGCCAACCAGGGCTAACGAGGCGCACGGGTCGCGGTGCGAGGAGCGTGGCCTCCATCAGCAGAGCCACTGAGCGACATTCGGCCAGGAGATGGTGGCCGGATCTGCATTTCTGACTAACTCCTTGGCTGCAGGGTGGTGGCTGTGGCAGGTGGAAAGGCATCACAGAGACCAATGAGGAGGCTATTCCAATTCCACAGGGGAAGAGTTGAGGCTGTGGATGAAGAGGAAAGAGAAAATATTTTTCCACTTGGTGGCTGACAGATGTAGAAAGGGAGACCACCACCGGTTTCTCTCGTTTCACTTCTAGGTAATGACGGCATCACGAATGGAGAGCAGCAGCAGGTCTGGAGGGACGTCTAAGAGCTCAGAATGGGGACACACGGAGTCTGACTGTGGAACTGGGCAAGCATTTGGATTATTAATAAAGTGGTTGGCTCAAGAGTGACTTCGGAACTCAGACCCAGATTCTGAAGTCCCCAGCTTTGGGGAGGTGGGTAAAAAAGAGAAGATGGTAAGATACAGAAGGCCAGGTTCTCTGAGATCTAGCGAGGGCACCCCAAAGCCACCAAGAGGGAAGATTCGAAGCAAATCGAGAAACTCCATGTCATAGACACCAAGAGCGTCAAGCACTTCAAAAAAGAGGGCAGTTAGATGTGTTTCTTGCACAACTTCATTGGCTCCAAATAAACTCTAAACTTCATACAATCTTCTAGTGCAGCGGTTGCTAAATGGGGTGACCCCAACTCAAGGAGTAGAAGAGAAAATATCAGATCTCTGCCTAGCTCATTTTATCTCATTCCCCTTTAACTTTTTCTAAGTTTTACAATATATGCCATATTTTGGTGGAGAACCATATAGTTTATAAATACATCTCTATCTGGAGGACATGCTCAAAGTTTTTACCAACAGAAATGTGATCAATCCTCTACAGAACTGATAAAAATGTATTTGAACAGGATAAAGCAATACACAAATGCAAGATGCCATTTTTTAAAAACTGTGATATAATGTTACATTAGTTTCAGGTGTACAACATGAGGGCTCAATGTTTGTATATATTACAAAATGATCATCAGGAGTTGATATCCGTCACCACCCATTACCATTTTTTTCTTGTGATGAGAACTTTTAAGAGGTACAATCTTCTAAGTGTGGATTCTGGCTACAATTCAATACAGCTGACCCTCAAAAACATGGGTTTCAATTACACAGGTCCACTTTTATGCAGGTCTTTTTCCACAAATACAGTACAGTCCTGTAAAATATTTTCTCTTCCTTATGTTAATATTTTCTTTTTTCTAGATGGCTTTTTCTAAGAATACAGCATATGGCACAAAATATATGTTAACTGTTATTGCTAAGTTAGATTTTTGGGAGTCAAAATTTATACCTGGATTTTCAATTGCACAGGGGTTCTAACTCCCACCATTGTTCAGAGTCATATATACTTTCAAAGTTTACCCCATCGAAAACTAGTCAACTTCTCTGGACAGTTCTTTCAAGTTAAGTTTCCAAAGCGTATTTGTTCAAACTCTCCATTTATATTACTGATTTCAAATGTACTAAGAACATTTTCCTGAAATGAAAGCATTCTCAAATATACATATTCATGGGGCGCCTGGGTGGCTCAGTGGGTTAAGCCTCTGCCTGTTGGCTCAGGTCATGATCTCAGGGTCCTGGGATCGAGCCCCACATCGGGCTCTCTGCTCAGCAGGGAGCCTGCTTCCCCCCTTCTCTCTCTGCCTGCCTCTCTGCCTACTTGTGCTCTCTCAGTGTCAAATAAATAAATAAAATCTTAAGAAAAAAATATATATTCATACATATGTATGTGTATTATTAGCTTTTATTTAATTTATATGAGAGAGACAGAGGACGCACAAACATGAGCAGGGGGAGGAGCAGAGGGAGGGAGACCAAAGTCCAGCTCGATCCCGGGACCCTGAGATCGTGACCTGAGCAGAAGGCAGACGTTTAACCAACTGAGCTACCCAGGCGCTCCTTAAGAATGTTTATAAATACCTTATTTTAATATGCATTAAAAATATATTTGAGAAGCGCCAGGCGGGCTCAGTTCATTAAGCATCTGTCTTTGGCTCAGGTCTCGGTCTCAGGGTCCTGGGACGGAGCCCTGCAGGCAAGCACCTGACTCAGCCCGCAGCCTGCTTTCCCTCTCCCTCTGTTCCTCCCCCTGCTCACGCCCTCTCACACACAAATTTTTAAAAATATTTTTTAAAATAACAAAATAAAATAAAAAATTCTTAAGAAAAACATGTTGCTTAATAGGGGCCAACTCTCAGGAAAATTATCAAACTACTTTTAGCATGTCCTTGTACAAGGACTTAGTGCTGTTCAGAAAGATGAAGTATTTCCAGAATTGTGTTAAAATACTCCAGGCTAAGGCACCACTGATATAATCACATATTTAGTAATGTCAGAATATGTTGTTTACTGAAGATCTAGTTCTTTAGTAAATTCAGTAATAAACTACATATTTAATCTTGACAAAAATACTTCAGGTCAGGGGCGCCTGGGTGGCTCAGTGGGTTAAAGCCTCTGCCTTCGGCTCAGGTCATGATCTCAGGGTCCTGGGATGGAGACCTGCATAAGGCTCTCTGCTCAGCAGGGAGCCTGCTTCCCCCACTCCCTGCCTTTCTCTCTGCCTGCTTGTGATCTCTGTCTGTCAAATAAATAAATAAAATCTTAAAAAAAAAAAAAAAAACTTCAGGTCAGTGAAAACATTTTGACTCTGATCCCTCAATTAATCAACAAAAACTACCTTTATTTTTTTTTTCATCAGCAAAAACTTCACACTAGACATACAC